TAAGGCCGTGGTTAAAGTATGATTCAGTAAATATTTTTTTTATAAGTAATGGAAACCATAATCCTTTGATTTGCTGTTTAAATTTGTACATGTAACATGATTCAAATTTTTATAAAGATTAATGTAGATGCACAGAGGATCAGTTTCACGGAAGTGTACGGACCCTCACATGAGGTGGGTCCCGAGCTGGACCCACCTGATTAAAAAATTATTCGAATTTTTTTCCACACCTCCCATGTGTGTATCTGTAGACATCTGTGAATGTAGCACGATTTTTTTTATAATTCTTATAATGATTATCAATTCTTTGTAACTAGTGGATCAAAGTTTGGCTCTATGCAAAAATAGTAAGGACCTGTTTGGTACAGTTTTTTATTTTCTACAGTAAATCAATNTGGGAAATGAGGGGGAGGTTTTGGAATTAAATTAAGAGCTTGTTTGGTACAGATTTTCATTTTCTACAGTAAATTAATTTTCATTTTCAACCATACATTTTTCAATAAAATAATATATTTCATCACATCAATACTTTTTTCTTTTTTTTCAACCACACATTTCCCATCATATCACTATTCAAAAATCAATTTTTTCCCTAAAAATCCCTACCAAACACACTCTAAATATTCATTTGATTCTCCTCTGGCTGCTTAATCATAGTGTTGGCAGTTGGCATGAGAAGAATCATGCTATATAATCAGGTTCACTGACATAATTTAAAATATGGGCAAACGTGTCATTTTTTCATTTGACAATTAAATAAATAAATAAAGCAACAAGACAAGTGCTGCCACACAACACCTGTCACCAAACATTGTCAATTTCCCCAGTTTGAGTAGCTTTATTCAGTGTGAAATAGATGTCAAGAACTTGGGACTTATCCGAGGCGGCGTTGAGTAGTGTTCCATCTAGCAAAGGGTAACTTTGCTAACTGTTCAGTCGGCATTCCTCTTCTGGGAATGCTTTTTCTGGTAAAGGAACTTCTAGTATTGAATGGATTCGATTTATGATGTTGCAAAAGGAAATGCAGTTCCAACTTGGGTACAGGAGCTAATCTGCTGTGAAAACATCTCAAAATAGGTGCATCTCTTGGTCGAGAAATCATGATCTCTAGTCAGTGTTTTTATACAAACGGCCTACCATGTCAAGCTACCTGAGCATCAAGGAAGAATAGACCTTGTTACGCCTCGCCACCAAAACTCCTACATGAAGCCTACTTGGCATTCCAGGAGGATTGCAACCAACCCACCGAAACCCATTTTGTCGAAGCCACGTGGCATCACTCATGGAGAACATAGGATCTATCGAAGTCCATTTTCATCGAAGCAGTTTCATAAAATGGACCTGTCGAAGCCCCTCTGTTGAAGTGGTGAGGCTCAACGAGGTTAAATCCGAATCTCTGACGAGTGATGATCCACCTTTGAAGATTCTAAATTTATGAAATCTTGTTCGAATGAATGATTTGACTCATGTAATGAGTAATATTTCGAAATCTTGTTAACATAGGTTATAAGGTGGTTGTCCTTTTTTTAGAGCATTTAATGTACCACATGCTAGTTGGGTCAAAATTGATGCTTAGAACAAGATACTTCGATTAAAGATATGAGGCTACGTGTCTCCTTATTCAATGGACAACATTTCACATTCAATACTATAAATATTCCTTCCTTTGTATCATTTGGTGTAATGCAAATACTATATATTCTCTCCTCTTGAGTAAAATCTTTGGTTAAGGAAGTTAGATGCTTGATCTTGATTTTTAGTTTGGTTTTTGTTGATCGTTCCTTATCGCACGATTCTGCTCATATATCTTGCTGGTGTCTGAACATATTTGTCTCGTGTTATAAAGTTTCTTCTACATTCAAATTCGAAATATCATCGACTAGTAATTTGTCCGAACGTAGTGGAAATAGCTTGTGTGGATATGATTGGCCCGGTATCTATTGTCCGCATTAACAGTTCAAAAAATGAGGTCAACAAACCCAATTTCCTTG